GGGGCTGGCAGCAGCCCCACTTGCTGCCACAAAAGGAGCAGATGACAGCCAGCCCTGCTCCTGGCTGCCCCCCCATCCTTGTCCCTGTCACTCAAGCTGCCACCAGCCAAGAGATTAGCATTCAGACAGGACAGGTGAGGGCAGCCACCTCCAGTCTGCTCTGTGAGGGAGAGTCAGGATGCAGGGCGGGGGAGGAGGCCATGTCCCTCTTCCCTCTCAGTCCCTCTCCAGAGCCGGGGAGCATTCTTCCTTTTCTCCCTGAAGGCCCAGCTATTGTGTGTATGTGAAACAGGAGAGGTCCAGAGGGGAGCTGAGGGGCTCCTCAGTGCTTCTAAACCTGCCCCTATTCAGTTCTTTCCAGAGCCACTAATTGTGCCAGCTCATATCTACCAGAGCACTTGCTACATGTGTGTACTAGACAGACTCACTACCACTGAGTGGACACCAGCTCAGACCAACCCAACACAGGGTTGCCAACTAGTCTTTTCTGAAGCAGAAAGCTTCCTCTTTCTCCCTCTGAGCTGGTGGTGGATTTGAACCGCTGACTTGGCAGTTCACATGACCTAAATAAGCTTTAAAACCACTGTCTGAGAGAGGAATTTCTTTCCATTGTACAGAGGAGGAAACTGAGGCACAGAGATGTCCAGGAAGCCACCCAAGCCCACTGAGCACGGAGTGGTGAAGTCAGGGTTCAAAGGCAGCTCTCCGGCTCTGGGCTCCTTGTTCCTACCAGCCAGCACTCTGGGCCCTGAGCCCTCCACCTCCATCCTGGAGCCCTAGTTGTCTGTTGCACCTTCTTCTCCAACCTGTGACAGCCTTGCAGCAGCTCTTTCCAAGGGCACAGGAGGGAAGGGAATCTGGGACTCTCTGGAGATGCTGTCACAGGATTTAAGTGACTCCCGGAACCCCACCATCACCTTGGGCTTCCACCACCCCAGCAGCAGGAGACTAGGTCTGGGTCCTCAGCCCTGTCGTGGAACTGGGAGTGGAGGAAGGCAAGTGTCTGCCGAGGGAGCTACACACATGCAGGCTGTGCTAGGAAGGTGTAAACACAACCTGCTCCCACCAGAGTAGCATGCCTCACCCACCCACGTGGCCCCCCAGCCTCCAGGGCCCAGGCTGTCAGCAGACCCTTCTCTCTCTTGCCCTCCTGTCATGTCATTTGGAACGAATCATCCCTCAAGGTATCACCATCTCCCGATCAGGTTCCCAGAACAGAACTGACAAGGGGGTCAGCCCAGGGGGATGGCCATCTGGGCCGGAAGCCAGCTCCAGTCTAGAGAGGTGACCTTGGTCTGACACCAGACCAGGGGGAGGAGAGGAGATGGGCCATCGGAAATGGCAGAGAGCAGAGACAAAGCAGAGGTGCAGAAACATGGCACACAGATCAGAGAGGATGAGAGACACAGACATAGTCCCAGGGACCGTGTCCTCTGGCCTTCAGGCTGAGGCCTCGCAGGTGAATGACAGACTGAGGGCAAGAGCTGAACGAATGGTCCTGGTCAGGTGGGCATCCTGGCACTGACATAGCACCTGGTCCCTGGTCTCCTGCCTGGCCTACTTTCTCAGTGACTTTGTCTGGCTCCCACAAAACTGTGCATAGCCGAAGAGCCATGCTCCTCCTCAGCATCACAGCCTCCCTAGGTTCCAGAACCTCCTCCCCCTACAGATCCGGAGCTGCCAACGACAGCCAACAAATGAGGTGCTGCTATTGTCAGGACAGCCCCCCCACCCCCTCCAGCTGCCTCAAGGGAAGGGACCAGCCAGGCCCAGACCCAGCGGCTGCCAAGTTAGCAGGGGGAGGAGAGATGGGTGCAGGAGGGCTTCAGGGGGACTTTGAAGATGAAGGGCTGCAAGTCAGTGGGGACCAGCTGACTGCAAGGCCTGCTGGGATCCTGGGGAGCAGAAGCGAAAACCGGCTTTTATCTCTGCTCAGAATCCAGCAGGATTGTGCCAAGGGAGAAATGGCAGAGCAGCTGGGGGCAAGGGAAGCATCCGTCTTTACTGAGCAGTCAGCAAACTGACAAAAACAAGTGTCAGGCTTCTCCCTTCCCACACACTGCTGCCCATGGGGACCGCACACACGCAGACACGCACAGAAACCACAGTCTGAGGACAAGCTGTCAGTTGCTCCCATCCAGCTGTGGGCAGACCCGTCACAGATCCAACTGCATTTTGTATTGATTGTCTCAGCTGAGCAGCCAGGGCAGGATGAGCTCTGAGGGCTCACAGAGCGGTTCTAACCCCGGCAGCTGCAGACTGGCAGGTAGATCTCAGGTGAGTGGACACCACGGTGGCCGAGTGTAGACCCCGGAGCCTGGACGGATGGGAGCCAGGTCTTGCACTTGTTAGTTTGGTGACAGGGGACAAATAATGTCAACTCTCTAAGTGTTTCTTGGTTTATCAAATGTGGCCATGACTAGACCCAAGAGTTACTGCGAGGATGAAATTAGAGAATGAATCTTCAAAAAACAAAACAAAAATCCCACTGCCATCGAGCAGTTCCAACACACAGTGACGCTACAGAACAGAGTAGAACTGTCCCATAGTGTTTCTAAGGCTGTCACCTTCTCATCTGTATCGGAGCAGACAGCCTCATCTTTCTTCCTCGGAGTGTCCAGTGGTTTTGAACCACCAACCTTGCAGTTAGCAGCACAATGCTTAACCCGCAGTGCCACCACGGAACCTTAGAGAAAGACTGGATAGCTACCGGTTGGTTCTGGAGTGTCCATGCTCCTCCTTGCTCCTGAGTCCATCCTGGGCTGTCAGAGGGTAGCAGAGTTACCCAGTGGACCCCGGGGAGCTCTTTGTCCAGCTCCATACCTTTAGAGGTAGGGTGCAGCTCAGAGAGGTGAAGACCAGGAGACCCCGCAGGCTGAAGTAGAGGCATCTGTTACCTTCTCACTGCTATCTCTTCCCAGACTCCTTCTCATTGCTGCTTCTGCCTCCTCAGCATCATCCTGGGGGACCACTGCAGGTCATTACTGTCCTCCATGCCCAATGGAAGAAAAACCTGAAACCAAACCTGTATCATTCCATCTTACAGAGATCCCAGGGCTGGCATCTTCATAGATCTATGCATTAGTAGCTGAATGCTTAGCCACTGTACCACCAATGTGCCTCCCAATGACTTGCAACGGCGAGCCTCTATTTCAGAGGCCTCTCCAGAGTACCGCCTCCCTTAGAAGTCTACCACCCGATCCATCCCACCCACCTTCCCTCACTCCATCCTCCACAGACCTTGGCCTCATCATGAGCCTGGAATGCACTCAAGACCACACCTGACTCTCGAAGGTGGACCCTAGCTCTGTAGCTGGAATGTTCACTCTCAAGGTCCATGCTGAATGAAGGAGCCCACCTGCACTCTCACTGCCCACCCCTGGCCAGAATGCTGAGCTCAGCTGCTGTGCCCCCACTAGGCTCTCCTCCCCTCATTCCTGTGCTGCCTTACCTTCCTCTGGGGCTGAGCTCTGCCGGAGACATGAAGTCTTACTTCAGAGGTTCTTTCTCCCTAAACCGAGCAAAATCCTGGAGTCAGGGGATGGAAGGAGGTGACCCTCCGGCATCTCCAGATTTCCTCTTCCACCTTTATGCCTAGCAACTCACCCCAATACTGAGGGGCAGGAGCTAGAATCTGGTAGTGGAACTACCGCTGGCCAGCCCTCTGTGATAGTCCCTGCATGCCGCCAACTCCCTGATGCGAGGCCAGATTTTCCAATTAACTGGATTCAAAGGAGTTCATCGGCAACCAGCCTCCTTCTGGCCAACCAGGCCACCACACTAGGCTGAGCCTGGCCAGATGGTCTCCAGGTAGGGCTTTGCCTTTCCTGATAGGAGGCCCGGACCCATTTCTTACAGGGAGACACACAACCTAGAAGCCAGGAACTTACCTGATTTCTGTCGCAAACTGGACTGATGACCTTGAGCTAATCCTCGAAGCCTCCCTGCCCCTCAGTTTCCTCAACCATCAACAAGAGACAGACACTTGCCACCAACCCTCCAAGCTTACACAGTTCACTCCAAGTGAGTGAATATAGGAGAAACGGCTGGGAAAGGATAAAACACTAACCACATACAAATCAGGGAGCTCTGGTAGCGTAGTGGTTACAAGTTGGGCTGCTAAGATCAGCAGTTCGAAACTACCAGTTGTTCCACAGGAGAAAGATCAGGCTTTCTGCTCCTGTAAAGATGAACAGCCTTGGAAACCCTATGCAGGGTTGCTATGAGTTGGAACGGACTCCACGGCACACTCCCACCACCATCACCACCACAGAAAAAAATCACAAGATAGCTCACAGTCACTGAGCATTTGCTGTTAAGGTGCTGTCGAGTGGGTTTTCACTCATGACAATCCTATCAGATTTGTAAGTCTGTGACCTTTCATAAATAGACCACCAGATCTCTGACCCTGTGTCGGGACACATGCAATGCTATATGTTGACCCTACATACAACAGAACACAATGCTACCCTGTTCTATGCCACGCTCACAATCTCTGCTATGTTTGACCCATTGATGCCAAGTTGCCAGCCTGGGGATGGAGGGGAACTCATCTTCCAGCTCTCTGTCAGACAATGTTCTGCTGTTTTCCATAAGGCTTTCGGATCACCAGGTCTTTCTTCTTAGTCTGTCTCAGGAAGTTCCTCTGAAACCTGTCCACCATGGATGCCACTGCTGATATTTGAAATGTCTATATCACAGCTTCCAATATGACAGTAACATGCAAGTCACCACAGTGCCACAGACTAATAGACTGTATGCTAAGCCAAGCATAGATCATATAATTCTCATACCCAACCACACTGTATGAACCACATTTAATATGTTATTGTTATTAAGTGCCTTCCAGTCAGTTCCAACTCATAGCAACCCTATTTCACATATGTTTTTGTTGTTGTTATGTGCCATCGAGTCAGTTCTGACTCATGGTGACCCTGTATAGGGTTTCCAAGGAGCAGCTGGTGGGTTTGAACCACTGACTTTGTGGTTCGAAGCCCAGTGCTGAAATAAGGCTACATACGTTATTCACCCAAAGTTACTCCTCAGTAAGAAGGGAGCCAGGATTCGAACTCTAGCTGCCCAATTCCAAGCTGAACTCAACAAGGAAAAGTCTGCCTTTCAAGTGCTTCCCACCAGTCAGGGAAACAGTGGCCATTTTCTAGGGGTTCAGCCCATTAAATTAGTAGTCTCAATTAGGCACTATAGTGGTTACACATTGATCAGCAGTTCAAATGTACCAGCTGTTCCGCAGGAGAAAGATGAGGCTTTCTGCTCCCATAAAGATTTACAGCCTCGGAAACCCTATGCAGGGTTGCTGTGAGTAGAAAACAACTCCACAGCACACCAGGTTTTAGTGGGAAGCTCCTATCCCACTTTTAGTGCATGCTGCCATCTGGTGGGGAACTGTATAACTGCATGAATCTGAAGAAACAGGCCTCCTCCCACCAACCCCAGCACCAGACATACACTCTTATTAACGTGCCCTAAGGGCATACATTGTTTTTAGGTGCCGTGCACACCAGGACTCCATTAATGGGACATACATGGCCCGCTAATTGTATCAAAATCTATATTGTTGTTGTTAAGTGCAGTCGAGTTGGTTCTAACTCATAGCGACTCTGTATAGAGTTTCCCTGGCGCAGCTGTTAGTTTGAACCGCCAGCCTTGCGGTCCAGTGCTTATCCTACAGATCCACACCAGGACTTCAAATCTATATTACTGCAAAAAAAAAAAAAAAAGTTTTTTCATTTCATTCAAAATGTCCCCTGTTACTGAAAATAAATTCAAAGCAGAATATAATTCAGTCTTGAAAGGGTTAATAAGAGGGGTTGAGTTTTTGGTGATGTGTTGGTCAGAGGAACCCCTCTCATCAAAGGACATTGGTCACCCAAGAAAGGAAAAGCCCTGAAATTCCCTCCGACTTCACTCTCAAAGGTCATCTGGCCTCTCAGTTAAGGGAAGAGTTAACTTTCTGGCCACAGGAGACAGTGTCCTGCCCTCAGGGGCCGCCCAGCCAATGACACGCGATACTGATGATGTCATGCTCCTTCTGCGCCTTCGATTGGGGACCGGACAGCGAATCGTGCTGGAGGTTCAGGCAGTGGAACCGCTGAGGGTGGGCGGGGGTGAGGGGCCAGGAGGGGGAGGCAAGCAAAGACAGGCAGAGCGACATCTGCTTCGTTCCTCTCTCTGAGGTCCCCTGCCCCCTCCACCGAAAGTGTGTGGCTCAGACACTCAGGCAAGCCAGGGGAGCAGCTCTGGTCCAGCAGCGGGGGCTGGCATTCCCAATCCGAGAAAACAACCACCCAACCTGCCTAGCAGGCAGACAGGGACCTGGGAGGCTGAGGCAAAGGGCCTCCTGGCCAGCCTACAACACACACCAGCTACACCCCATGCAGAAGCATCCATAGCTTCCTTTGCAGAAGCCTTACTCCTCCACCCAGCTCTCGAACGCCTCACCTGCCGGATGCCTGGTGGTCTGGGTCCAAGCCGGTGCTGACCACCTCCCCATCCACACTGCTGGGCTCTCTGTGGGAGGAAGAACTGTGAGCTTTAGGCAGTGCCCACGCCCACTTTCCTACCTCTTTCAACCTCCCACTACGGGGGATGGCGGCCATGGCCTACCAAGAGTTCCATGTCCCCTCTTCTTATCCCACAACCAAGAGGAGCTGAGAAAGGGTTCCATTGTCAGCCTCCACACCTCCACCTCATCCTTTTCTGAGAAGGAGCTTCTCAGATTGCAGGCCATTACCCTCCCAGGCCCTCTGGAGCCCAGGCTGGGTTTTTCCTCCCACCCCTGCCCTAGCCCACAAGCCCAGCAATTTCTCACGGTTCCACCCGGTTGGCACATAGGTGACGACAGAGCAGGGCCAACGTGCTGAGCAAGAAGAAGGTAGTGCACATGCCCCATCCCCAGCCCAGATCCCAGTCTGCAGAAGAAGTCTGGGGCTAGGGGCCCGAAATGGCCCCCTGCCAGAGCTCACAAGCTGTGCTGTCTGTCGGAGGTTCCTGTTGGTGATGGATTAGGAAACTCAAGCTGATTAGCTGGGTCAGTAGACCCGACCTTGTGAAGACTGATTAAGCTCACCGGGGCCAGGGTCTGCTCTGAGTGGCAGAGCAAACACATCAGCCAGTGTGTTCAAGAACCCCTATTCAGAATGTGGATACTAGAAGGCAGGCTTGCCCTCTAGACAAGGAACTCCACTCTCAAATTCAACAAGCCACTACAGTAGTGTGCCTGAGGGAGCTGCTGAATAGGTGAGGGTTACAGACATCAGGTAAAGCTCCCGAGAAGAGCTGGGGGGTATCCAGGAAGGACAACCTTAGAAAAATCCACAAAGGGCTGCTGAGTGGTGGGGGGGGGGGGCATCAGGATGGGAAAGGAGGAAGAGAATATTAAATGAGGCTGGAAAGACAAGAGAGATGAAAGAGACAGAAGGGCCCTGGATGTCTAGCTTGTTGTTGTTGTTGTTATGTGCCCTGGAGTTGGTTCCGACTCACAGTGACTCTGTACAGGGTTTCCAAAGCTACGAATCGGGCTGCGAACCTTAAGGTCAGCGGTTCGAAACTACCAGCCGCTCCGCGGGAGAAAGATGAGGCTTTCTACTCCCGTAAAGATTTACACCCTCGGAAACCCTGTACAGGGTCGCTATGGGTCGGACCCGACTCGATGGCACTTAACAACAACAACAACAAATCTTTATGGGAGCAGAAAGCCTCATCTTTCTCCCATGGAACAGCTAGTAGTTTTGAACTGCTGACCTTGTAGTTTGCAGCCTGATTCGTAACCACTACGCTACTAGAACTCCTTTGGATGTCTAGTTTAGGAGCCAGCTTTACCCTCTGGATAATCCTCTCCAAACCTTCTTAAGCACTCATCTTTTCAGGAAAAAGGAGAATTTCAGTGTACTCACAGGACTTCTGGTGTGACCCTGCAGGTTAATACAGTAGACTGCAAGGTTGGTTTGAACCTCAAGGTCAGCTGTTCAAGCTCACCCAGCCACTCCTGGGAAACCCTATACAGAGTCTCTATAAGTCGGAACTGACTTGAAGGCTCTTAACAGCAATAGAATAGATATATTACCTACTTATAAGGAGTTTGGAGTCCTGGTGTGGTACTGTGGGTTAATGCACCAGACTGCAAAGCTGTTTGAACTGCAAAGTCAGCAGTTCAAGCTCATCAGCTGCTCCTCAGAGACGCTATATAGGGTCGCTCTGGGTTGGAACTGACTTGACGGCACTTAACAACAACAACAACAAATAAGGAGCTTGGAATCCTTGGACGACACTGTAGGATAAGCACTGGACCACAGGTTCGGTTTGAACTGCAAGGTCAGTGGTTCAAACCCACTAACCGCTCCTCAGAAACCCTATACAAGGTCACTATGAGTCAGAACCAACTTGATGGCACTAAACAACAACATAAGGAGCTCTGGAAATGCAGTGGTTAAGCACTCAGCTGCTAATTGAATGGTTGTAGGTTTGAACCCACCAGCCTCTCTTTGGAAGAAAGCTATGGCCATCTGCTTCTATAAAGATAACAGCTTTGGACACCCTGTGGGTTAGTGCTCCTGGTCAGAATTGATTCAAGGGCTATGGATTTGGTTTTGGGGTTTCCTAAGCTACATACTTTTCTACCGTGCAGATTATGTATTATATGATAAAACCTACATAAAATTTGTAAAGAATCAAATGAAAATGGATAAAATGATTTCCTCTGCTTTTTTTCCAGACCCCCTTGGAGAGTGCTGTACCAGCTATGGGAAATGATCAGAGGGTTTGGCCCTGCAGCACACAGGGTGTAGCGCCTTTGGTGGCCACAGCGTGGAGCCGGAATGAGGACGTGGGTTTGAGAGTCATCTAAGAACCTGAACTCACCCACTCCCACCCCTACTTCCCAAGCCTCCTCAGAAGGCACTAAGTTTCCTTCCCTCACTTGGGGTGTGAGGCATCCTACAAGGATTCTCATGAAAGTACCTGAACCCTGGGTTCCCGGAAGGACTGAGGCCAGGCTTGGCTGTTCCTGTCAATTCTCTAGCTTGAAAGAGGATTTAAAAAATAAACACATAAGCTAAATCTGAAGGGAGGAGCCAGTCCCTTAGGATACTTAAATTGTCAATCATGAAAGGGACAAAGGTAAAGGAGTTCCTAAGGTAAGGCAAGTTGGCCCTGGACCCCACTTGAAGGGGAGTGCCACAGAGCAGTTTCTATTAACCCCATAGGCCCAGTGTCCTTCTGATAAACACTCAGAGGTAGAGGGGGGAGATTTGTCCCCTGCTCAAGTCCAAAGGGGGTGGCAGAGCAAGCCAAAAAATGAAAAGACTTGAGGCAGCCGGACCAGAGAGGAGACAGCAGTTTTGCTGATGTATGTGCTGCTATCGTTAAGTGCTCTGGAGTCAGGTCCAACTCATATTGATCCTGTGTAGAAAGGGTGGGGGACCTTTGTTCTGCCAAAATTTATAACATCATTCACAGGCCATCCAAAATTATCAACTGCAAAATTAGCCTGCTATATTTGGTCAAACATTTAATTAGCTCATCCTTAATGTAATGGCTAAGGAGCTCTGGTAGCGTAGTGGTTACGAATCAGGCTGCGAACCACAAGGTCAGCAGTTCAAAACTACCAGCTGTTCCGTAGTAGAAAATTAGGCTTTCTGCTCCCATAAAGATTTACAGCCTCGAGAACCCTGTACAGGGTCACTATGAGTCGGAATCGGCTCCACAACACATAACAACAACAAATGTAATGGCTGGAACTGCAGTTGCTTGGCAGAGCCAGGCATACCCCACCTCTGCTGTATAGATAGGGTTTCCCAGGCTGTAAATCTTTGTGTGAGCAGAAAGTTTCATCTTTCTCCCATGGAGTGGTTGGTGGACTTGAACACCGATGTTTATCTAAGAGAGCCACTGAGCTCCCCTGCTGATGTGTGGCCAATGCTAAAATGTTCATCTTGTAATTGGAGAGGGAACACAACTTAGTGATTGTCCAGAGCATATTATCTTCACTGTGTCCCAGGACAAGGGTCACCAGGGAGCCTCAGGGGGGACAGGGCACAGCTCTGTGTGCTGTGGCGTCTGTTTCAGACCCAGCAGCAAATAGTGGGACCTAGAGGCCCCCTGCACTAGCAACTGCTCACAGGATGGGGACCCCGGTGGCTCTGGCCCAGTCTCACCCACACCAGAAACAAGAACGTTGTTTTCCCCCACCCAGTGCTCTGTCCCGGTGGGGTCCTGGTGGTGACTGCATATCGCCAGCAGCCTAACGCCTCCCACAAGCGTGACCCTTCGCTCCTCTTTGCCGGCCGGGCTGCCTCTCCTACGAACTTTCATCCACCAGGACCAGCATTGAGGGCAGCGCCTGCTTCTTGTCTGCCTGTGTCATTAATACGCCACTCGGGATTTCTTTCTTCCCGTGTGTCTGCACCGCGGGGGAGGGAGTGTTGGCCGGAAGGAAAGGGGCGCAGGCCTCTGGCGACCAGGGTCAAGGATGTGTTCCAGTTCCAACAGCCGCTCCACCCCCGCGGCTGCAGCCCTAAGCCCTGAGGAGCCTGGGGTCCGAGTGGACCCCTGCGCTATCTCAGGAGAGACACTGAACCGCGGTCCGACCCCTTGGAGCAGCGGTGGGCGACCCGCCGCAAACGCCTGGCAGTGTCGGACTTTGAGTCAGTGCCCCGCCGCGTGAAGGGTGCACACCCGCCCCGGGGCGCACTCCTAGGCGCACGACGCCTCCCCACGCCGCGTGGACGCCCCCTCCTCCGAGACCCCCGGCAGACCGGCCACACCTACCCCGCTCCTCCCCGCGGTTAACTCCGCGGCGGCCGGGAGGGCGGGCGCCAGCAGCGTAGCCCCCACCCCGCGCAGCCTTCACCTTGTAGAAATTGGCTGGCGACACGGGGTTGGGGATTTGGAGCGTCTTTATTTTTTTTTCAGGCTTTTTCCTGCCGACCACATCCCCGCCCCCCGCTCGCGGTCGCCCGCCCCCCGCACATATACCCTGCACATACACACACACACGCACACTCACTCGCGCCCGGCGCGCAGAGATACAGACACGCTCCCGCCCTCCGGCGCGCTCGGCCCCTCGCCCGCCAGCCCCGCACGCAGCCGGCCCAGCGCCCGCGCCCCGCGCCCCGCCGCCGCCGAGCCCCCCGGGCCGGGCTTGCAGCTGCTCATGGAGAAAGTGCCGGGTGAGATGGAGATCGAGCGCAGGGAACGGAGCGAGGAGCTGTCCGAGGCGGAGAGGAAGGCGGTGCAGGCGACGTGGGCCCGGCTCTATGCCAACTGCGAGGACGTGGGGGTGGCCATCCTGGTGAGGTAGGTGTCGTCCTGGCCCGGCCGGGCCCGGGGGAGGGAGCGCGACCGTAGCTCCGGGTAGGGGCGGGCTCGGCCCAGGTCCGATCTCCGGCGACACCTCCCCAGCTGCGTTTGGGGCCCGGCCAGGGCTGGCTGGGCGCCTCGGGGTGGGTGAAGCTCTGGCTGAGCCTCTGCTGGCTCCAGGGCACGGAGCCCCCCAGGAATGAGGAAGCAGACGCAGGAGCGCACCTCTGTTCGCTCCGGGGCCTCAGAACTCCTACCCAGCCAGCCCGCGCCTCCTCACCAGCAACCACATCCCCGCCCAACCACTCAGCCAAGCCGCCACCATCCCTCCGCTTGGAGTGTGGGGGCTTTCCATTTCAGAGATGGGAATACTGAGTCTCCGCCAAGAAGGAGGCGGGGGCGAAGCGGAGCAGTCCCCTTCTCCAGCTCAGCCCCTAGTCGAAAAATCTTGCAAGAACAGAGCAGACCTACCAGAGCAGAAGTAAAAGAGTAAGAACCCTGAGATCGGGTGTTCCCAGCTGACCCATTTAGCCTGGAGACGATGGGCCAGAGGGAGCGCCAGGCACAGGTGAGTGGAGAAACCACTAGACGCCCCCAGGTACAGTCCTTGTGAGTTGGTTACAGCAGGCTAGAGCTTCACTCCCAAACCCCTATCCAGGGATGAAAGGCCCCATCTTGGGCTTAGGGGCGTTCAGGACCCACACTCCCCTTGTTGGTGGTGGTGTTTAGTTCCATAGAGTCAGTTCTGACTCATACCAACTGTGCCATAGTGTTTCCGAGGAGTGGCTGGTGAGTTTGAACCGCTAACCTTGTGGTTCAAACCGACCTGGTGGTCAAGTGCTTATCATACAGCGCCACACCATGACTCCCCTTAAGGACCCCCAAACAGGCTAGCAGGGCTGTTCACACACCTACACATGGGTGTGTGCACACGCCCCATTCCTATGAACTTAACATCACTAAGTTCTAACTTAACACCTTCTTCCCACTTGGGCTGGTCCCTGGGGTGCAGGCAGAGGCCCCCACCCATGTTCCAGCTGGGGGCTGGGAAACAAGGGGGAGGCATTGTCAGATCCAGGGCAGAGTAAAGTAGTCTTTGAAGGTAGGGATGAAACCTCCAAAACCTTCTCCTCAACACTCTTTCTCTGCTGCCTCCCCCAAGCCTGAGACCTCCCAGACTCCATATTGGTAGGCCCTGATTCCAACTTAGAAACACTTCCAAGGGTGCAGGAGTCAAAGAAGTGTTTCAGAGGTGCTTCTGAAGGGTTGCTGAGGTAAGGAAGCTGTTTGGGCAACCCAGATTGTCCTCCCAGACCCAGGAGCCCAGCTGGCCAAGGGGTGAGGGGGCGAAAGAGAAGGTTTTAAATCCTGGAGCCTTCGGACACCAGAGATGAAGTCTTGCACTGTGAGCACCCCACACAGGCAGTGGGGAGGGGACTGACCACATTGTATCCTATATCTGAGGAGGGCTGCCTCAGGGTGTACACAAGCCACCAAGAGGAAATGAGGCAAGACCACAGAGTACAGAGGCCCAAAGGACCCTGGTGGTCATCTGCTCCAACCCTGTCACTTGACATCAGGACACATAGAGACATGTCCAAAATCCATCTCTTGAGGGATCACTGAATTCCCCAGGCAGGGGCGGGAGCAGGGATGGGGTGGGGGTGGGGCCGAAGAAGGGGCTGCCCACTACAGGCAGGGCTGTAGGGCTATTTCTGTATAGAGAAGCACTTGGTGGAGATGCCTTCTTTCTCCCTATATACCCCTTCAAGCTCCCCACACCTGACTCCTGGGGGTGGGTATTATTTACTAAAGCACTTGGTGCTCAGAGGAAGCCCCCCTATTCATCCCGGAGTTGTTAAATGCCATTGAATCAGTTCTGACTCATAGCGACCCTATGATTAAGATTTTCTAGGAGCAGTTGGTGAGTTTGAACCACTGACCTTGTGGTTGGCAGTCTAGTGCTGATCCCACAGAGCCACACCAGAGAGAGTTGTTGTTGTTGTTGTTGTTGTTAGGTGCCATCAAGTCGGTACCGACTCATAGCGACCCTATGAACAACAGAAAGATACACTGCCCTGTCCTGGACCAACCTCACAATTGTTGCCAGGCTTGACACACACACACACACACATACACACACACACACACCCTTTCCTGCCCCCTATGTGGATGGGCTAACTTCTCCATGCATCCCTCTTTCTTTTCTCCTGCTGTCTGTCCAGTGGCGGGGAGGGCTGGCAGAAAGAGTTTAGAGGAGGTCTCTGCCCCCAGATCTTGCACCCTCCAGTCCTGCCACAATTCCCTCCTGTCCCTTACACACACAACAAACAAAAGGTCAGCAGTTCAAACCCACCAGCTGCTCCGTGGGAGAAAGATGTGGAAAGATGTCTAGCCTTGGAAGCCCTTTGGGGCAGTTCTACTGTGTCCCACAGGGTTGCTGTGAATTGGAACGAACACACCCATTCATCCACAAGGACCGGGCCTGAGACACACTCTCCCTCTGACACCTCATAGCTCCTAAAGGGGTCTGCTCTGGTGGAGGTAGATCTCACACTTCCACTGGCTGCCTGGGAGGAGGTGGTAAGGGAACACCCAGGCTTTGTGAAGACTCCCCTCCCAGTTGTAACTCTAACACCTCCCCCTCCCACTCAGACAAGCCTATTTAGAGCTTGCTTGGAAGCCCAGATGCCTCTGAGAACTGAGAAACTCCCCAAGGCTGGCTTCACCCCTCTACAGCTAGGGGGTCAAGGCGGGACAGATGTCCAGGCGCAAGGGACAGAGGGGATGAACTCATAGCCTGGCCTCTTCTGGCCCGGTGCGGGCCCTAAGCAGGAGCTTTCCAGCTGACATTTTTTCAAACCCATAAATGATATGTTAGACATTGAGACTGAAGATGTGCTTGCGTCCTGGGCGATGACTCCCCTCCTGGGGGCATTGTTGTTTGTGCCATCCAGTCATACCGACCCTGTATAGGACTGGTGGGTTTGAACCACAGACCTTGTGGTTAACAGTCCAGCGCTTATCCTACGGCACCACATCAGGACTCCTGTAAAGCAGTTTCTTTCTGGATCTTTCCTGGTCCAACACCTACTCCACTGGGCTAGCCGTGGGCAACAGTTTCCTAATCTATAAAAATCCACTGTGGTTAAGTCGATTCCTACTCAGAGGACCCTATAGCACAGCATAGAACTGCCCACAGGATTGCCAAGAGTAAAGCTTTACCTCATTATTCACCCATGGATTGACTAGTGAGCTTCAACCCCTGACCTTTGATAGAGCAGTCTGATGCTTAACCCACAGCACCACCAGGATTCCTTCCTAATCCACGAAGCTAGAACAAGCACAGTGCCACCTCCAGAAGGGATTGCGAGGATTAAGGAGTCCTGGTGTGGCGCTGTGAGCTAATGCGCTGGACTGCAAGGTCGGGGTGAACTGCAAGGTCGGTGGTTCAAGCTCACCAGCCGCTCCTAGGAAACCCTATACAGAGGCGCTGTTAGTCGGAACCGACCCGACGGCACTCCACAACAACAACCAACCGCACATGCTCAATAGATGTCCCCTATTTGTTGACGGTGCCCTGGTGGCACAGTGACAAGTGCTGGGCTGCTAAACTAAAGGTCGGTGGTTCAAACCCACCAGCTGCTCCATGGGAGAAGGATGTGGCAGTCTGTTTCCGTAAAGATTTACAACCTTGGAAACCCTTGGTGGCAGTTCTGCGCTCTCCTACTACAGGGCTGCTATGAGTCAGAATGAACGCCACAGTCACAGCTATTATTTCCTGAGTGGGACAAATGGTTAAGCGGTTCAGCTACTAACTGACAAGTTGGCAGTTTGAATCCACCCAGAGGGGCCCCGGAAGAAAGACCTGGCTGTCTACTAATGGGGAAACCCTGTGGAGCCCAGTTCTACTCTGACACACATGGGCTGCCTGGAGTCACAATCGGCTGGACTGATGGTCAATTGTTTCCTGATCAGTAAAATGGGTCTGAGATGTAGCCATGACATGTGGAGATGCTGTGCCAATATAAACCACTATTTACTGCAATCGTAAGACCCCCTCAGTCTGAGATCCTCACGTAAGTCCTGAGAGGGTGTTTCTCAGTGTTTCTGCAGAAAACTCTACTGCGTTTTCAGCTCCATAGTCTCATCTGTGAAGTGTCCAGCAGGAGGGACGTCCCTCTCTTTTGCAGCCAGGCAGGTTGTGAAGGTCACCCTGGGTCTGTGAGGGGGCCCGCTGAGGTCTCTATTTAGACTGCACCGGATCCTGGTCCAAGCCTCCTCTGCTGAGAGCAGCTTTGTTGCCCGAAGGGGTGGCCCAGGCCTAATGCTCTTTGCATATCTGCTCCAGCTCCCAGATCGCTGACTCTTGGCCAAAAGGCTGGTTTGGCACATTATCAGCTCTTTCAGGTCACAACCGGGGACACTCCAAAGACATGAAACGGCTTGATGACACAGCTCTGAGACACCCAATGTATTTTCTGAGAAGTTATGTCAGTTCCGACCAAGTTCCTGCGTATGCCTGACGTGATGCCCAAGCAGTGTGAAGTGATCTCAATGGCGCGCTGCATCCACAGGGCCCTGGGTCAGGGAACATAAGGCCAGGGCTCTGCCCTGGGGTTGTGGTGACTGGTCTGCGACACAGGAAAGAAACAGAAAGGCCATCTGAGAGAGACAGATGGGCAGGGGGAAAGTTGTAGGGCAGACCAGCTCGGGCAGGGACAGAGAGAAGCAAGTTTTCGAGGAGAGACTAAGAACAGCATTCTAAGCCAGAGGAAGATTGGCTCAAGAGTGGAATGTTTTCCTAACAGTGAACAAGGCTGGAGCAGAGGTGGCTCACATGTAGGGAGAATGTGGACATCTTGTTGGAGAAGAGAGTTTATCAGAAGCCTAGAATTTCATGTTGAGTTTTAACTTTGGTAAACAATGGGGAGCCATGGAATGTTTTGGAGTAGGAGAGCAACCTCATAAAAATGATATGTTAAGGAAAGCTAGACGATTTAAGAAAAACAAAGCGAGGGGGAAAGAATGAGGCTAGGAAGAGCTGGTGTAAGTTCCAAGACGTAGTGATGTGAAATAATTACCGCAGGACACAGATAAAAAGTCAATTGTTAGCTTTAATTAAATCAATTTTTACTCTGGACCAAAGAGGGGTACAGGGTCATGAAGATCTGGGCTCATTTCCTCCTGGCATTGGCTGAGCCACCTTTAACGACGTGACTGGAGTTGTTCTTTGCACATAAAGAGATGGGACGTTACCATAGTTACAGCACTGTGTTGAGGATTTGGCATACTGTTCTTCATTTCATCTTCACAACAACCCATGAGCTAGAAACAAAGATGCCCATTTTATAGATGTGGAACCTGAGGCTCAGAAAACTTAAATAACCTGTTAGAGGTCACACAGGCCTATAAATCTAGAACCAAGAGCTTTTCCCTGGACTGTGATTGGAACAGGTCTCGAGGGTGTATAGGGTTTGGGAAGGAGAGGCCCCAGAGTGGAAGCTGGCAGGAAATGGAAATGTTGGGAACCCAGTTGTTGCTTGAACAGTGGGTGGGTCTAGGTCTCTGTTTGAAGGGCAGCTATGTACAGCAGTGAAGACAGTTACTACGATGGGGGAGGCTCTTGCCTCTCCAGCCCTGCCCCCCCCCCATTATCCTGTCACTTCAGGGTGGGGTCCAAGGCAGCCCCCCTGCTTCAGTGCCCAACCCTTCCACAGGTTCTTTGTGAACTTCCCATCGGCCAAGCAATACTTCAGTCAGTTCAAGCATATGGAAGAGCCTCTGGAAATGGAGCGGAGCCCCCAGCTGCGGAAGCATGCCTGCCGGGTCATGGGAGCCCTCAACACGGTCGTGGAGAACCTGCATGACCCTGACAAGGTGTCCTCTGTGCTGGCCCTCGTGGGCAAAGCTCACGCTCTCAAGCACAAGGTGGAGCCTGTCTACTTTAAGGTATGCCCCTGGACACCCATCTCCCCACCCGTATCCCATCGCTGCCACACCCTCAGCGTCCAACTAATCCTGGAGCGGCTGTGAAAGGGAGAGTGGCGGCTGGTGTGGGTGGCCCTTGTCTTTGTGGGTTCTTGAAGTCACCAGGCTGTGTGTCCTAAAAGGATCCCTCAACCAGAGGCGGGGTACACAGGGTGATGGCGAGCCTCTTGGCTTCTGTAAAGATGTACAACCTCAGAAGTCGTGTGGGGCATTTATGCTCGGTCGGAACCGACTGGACAGCTGTGGGTTGGGTTGGGTTTGCAGTTGGGGCGCTGGGCTTCTGGGAGCAGGCAGCAGATGCTCACGCCTCTTCCTCCCTCTTCCCTCAGATCCTCTCTGGGGTCATTCTGGAGGTGATCCAGGAGGAGTTTGCTAATGACTTCCCCCCTGAGACGCAGAGAGCCTGGGCCAAGCTGCGTGGCCTCATCTACAGCCACGTGACCGCTGCCTACAAGGAAGTGGGCTGGGTACAGCAGGTCCCCAACGCCGCCATGTGAGGAGGGGGTGGGTGGGCTGGGCCGGGCTGACCGCTTCGGGGTCCAGGGGCTGACCACTGGAGCAGGAGCGGGTCGGGAAGGTCGGATCCAGGCAAGATCCTGCAAGGCTGTCTTTCTCCGGCTTTGGACCCATGTAGGCCCTGACATTTGTCTGCCCAGAGCAGGGAACACTTTCCCTAGAACACCGCAAGCCACAGCCAACAGGGCAGAGGTGCCAGCGGGCTCCTGGAGGGAAAGTTGCTCAGGCCAGTTCCGGCCACTTCCTCCCCAGGTACCAATCACATGAGGCTATGTGCTCATCCAACGCTGACCAGTGACCAAGGACTGGGGCCAGGAATATCACGAGGTAGTAGCACACACGTGGTGGCCCAAGCAGGCCCACGTGGGGGTCACTTAACTCACACGCTAGCAGGGAATGTCCACTTCTGGGCTGACCCCGGATGGGCCCGGAGATGGCTCGAGGAGGGTGGCCAGCCTCAGGGATCCAACTGACAAGGAACATGAGGGAAGGGCCAGTTAGTCCGTCCCCAACACCATGGCGACTGGGAACACTCCCGCCTCCCTGGGCCCCCAAGGGGAGGCTGGTTCTGGGAGTTGAGTGGGGGGAGTAGGAAGAAGAGGGATGGACGCAGGATTGGGAACCAGGGGTCAGCCAGCAGCTCAGGATACACACTGTCCAGAGACATTTCCAGCAGTTTCCCATGGAAAAGACTAAAGTCCCTCCCCTGGCTCCGCACTGACCCTCAGAATCCCCCACTGCCCACGCACAAGCTTCTCCACCCAGCCCCTCAGGGGATGTACCCTGAGGTCGGCCTAGGAGGCCAGACCTCCCAACCTTCCTGTCGCTGACCACACTGGTTCCTGCTCCTGCCCCCAGGAGGGGAGCCTCAGCAACCACTGGTTGTGACCAAGCCAGGTCCAGATGTGCACAGCTGGCCCTGGTCAGGCCCAAGCAGGGTGGACAGAAGACAGGCAGGCGCATGTATCTGCCTGGGGGGGATGGGCACCAAAAGGGCCTGGAGGACTGAGGGAGGCAGTGGGGACCATGAAGGGGTGATAGGGAGGGAAGGGGTTTTACCCCCCCACTGCCCCCCCCCCCCCCACCTCACCCCCACCTCGCCAGGCTCTACTGCCAGGGATGAGTTTGTTTACAACCAGGAGACAAGACTTCCTGCTTCTCTAGAAGAGGGCTTTTTTACAGGGGCCTAGGGGGACGTCAGGGGGGTACGTACATCACAGAGCTGGCCCAGCCAGGCCCCCATGAATCAGAAACACATGGAAACGTTTCCCGACATGACTCCCTGTCCCCTCCCCTCCCCTGCCCCAGCTGGACCCCAGGGACTTAGATCTTGCCAAGCCCCAAACATTAGGAAACCGCCAAAATCTCTTTGTCTGCCCTGTCTCTGCTGATTTTGGAAGGAGGGAGAATGGGTCGTGATGGAGATTGGGGGCCGCAGCCCATTCTCAGGTGACCCACACACACACTAGACCCCCAACTCTGGCTTCCTGGGGACACAGATGTACACCCCCTAAGAAGATGTCTCCCTGGACCCCTGGCCTCACCTCCAGACCCAACACACTGCCAGGGTAGAAATGGGTGTGGTAGCGTTAAAGAGCAGTGTTCTAGAGAAGATTCCATCCAACTCCTCTTATCTTCTCAGGGCGGCTGTGGTGGGCCAGACGCCACTGTTTACCATACTGTCTCTGCTTGAGGGTGTGTGAGCTCTCATGTGGGTGGAGGGGTCAGGAGTTCAGAAGGGAATATGGTGGGTACCAGCCAGATGCCATCAGAGGTACAGCAGGTACGGCAAGTGCCCGGGCACTGCTTTCAGGAGGACCACTGAGGAGTGTTTACTAACCTAGTTGGGTCCAACACTCTTCCTCAAGCATAGGAGGCATCCAGGACCATGAGGAGCGGGGGACAAAGTAACACCAGATAAGACTAGGAATGACAAATGTGAAAGACCCATAACTGAGGCAGTTGGACAAGACCGACCGGGTGGGGTGGGGAGCCTGTTTCTGCAGACACATTGTCACTCTCTGCGTCTTTTCACCTTGAAATGGTGGTGAGAGCACAATTTAGAGATTGTCCCAGGTATTCTTGCTACGCCTCTGGTTCAAACAAAGAGGTTGCATGTACGGAGCAGGCAAGAAGGCCTACAGACAGGCCACCGGCATCTGCACCAGGCTACAGTGAGGCCCGTGGGTTTGGATACCACTGGATTCTCAAGGAGGTGGCAGGACAGAGGTCACAAGCTGGGGACTCAGGCTGCCACGTGTAGCAGGAAGGGAGCTAGAGCTTGCCTTTGTGGGGCATGCTTTCTACTGTGGTGCTGGGTCGGGTCTCCTGCAAAGTGCCAGCCCCGGATCCTGCCCTTTATAACTGGCCACCTCCATCTCCTGTCTCGTCCACAGCCCACCGGCTACAGTGCCCTCTTCGGGGCCTTAGGACCCCCTCCCACCTGCCCCCTTCCCTGGCAGCACCTTGAGCAGAAGGCTGAGTTAGAAGACCCTCCTTGACCCTCCATCCCTGGGTGCCAAGAACGCTGGAGGAATCCCTGACTCGACTTCCCAGAAGGAGGCCTCTGCCGCGGCTGCAGTCCCCTGGAGCTGCCAGGAGGTGGCGCCAACTGTCCTGATGCTGACCCCCGCGGCCTGCCTGTGGGGTGGAGGGGGGCCCTTCCAGGCAGAGCTGGGCCCACCCTTCTTAGCTTTTCTACTCACTGTTCTAGCGAGACCTAGCTGAGCGGCTGGCGGGAAGCAAGGGGCAGGTCTAGAAGCCTCTCCAGGAATAAACCAGCCCCGCGTCCATCGGCCTGACCAACCAGCATGCAGGCCTCAGTATTACCTATCTAGAGTCTAATGTACACACATTTACCGTATATACAAATATATTCTATATACAATCTATATAAATATATAATATATATATATCAAACAAAACTCCAAACCCATTGCTCTCAAGTTGATTCCAACTCGTAGTGACCCTGTAGGTACAGAGTAGAATGAACGGTTCCAAGAGATTTCCAAGGCTGGAAGCAAATCACATCTTTCTCCCGAGGAGTGGCTGGTGAATTTGAACCTCCGACCTTTCGATTAGCAGCTGAGTGCTTTAACACTGCGCCACGAGAGCTCCTCTAATATACAAACACGCGAACATATCTATAATGTCTATCTGTGGGGCCCAGAGGCACTGTTATCTTTGGGCTATTCTCTGGGCAGAAAACAGAGGGTCCTGGCAAAGATGGGGGTCCCCCACCAGCATAGAGAGGATCTGGGTTTGTCCAAGAGGGGTTGAGGTGACCCATGAGATGGCAAAACTCAGCCCCCCACATTCCTGCATTCTTGAGGACCCTCCCCCTAAAAGGATTTGACTCATGACTTGTCCCAGAATGTGTGAGGGCAGACAGAGGGTCAAAAGTTCCAGGTAAGAGAATGGAACTGAGGCAGGGGTGACCGTGAAGACATCTCAAAGGTCAACCCTGTCACTGAGCCCAGAAGGGTGGTCCAGGCTGAAGGTGACAGGCCAGAGCCCAGATCTAGTCCCAGAAGCAAGAGAGCTCCTCTTGGTAGTAGTCCGTGCTACTACCGTCTGCCCACCTGGGTCGGCCTTGTTGGGGGACCCCTGTGTGTGTCCTCGGTCACATGTATCGTCTCACAGCTGTTACTGCTGCGGTTGCCGTACCTGTATTTCCTGTCCCTCATGTTGCTATCTGTATAACTGCTGTCCTCCTTTCGTTGTCTCTGATGTTTGTAAGCAGACCCAGCCATGTCATTAAACAGGCCCTTCTTCCTGTGTCTGCACAGTCTCTTGGTCTTCTGCCACCTGCCGCTCGCCCATCCCCTCTCCTTTGTTCTGTGGGCTCTGACTTTTCCTTGAAAGGAGGACCTCCCTCTCCTCTCCATGGGGACACCCCTCAGCCTTGGCTGGTCGTAGGCCTCGACATCACCTGAGTTCCATGTGCACGCAGATCTTTGAGTTGGGGTGTAAGCGATTCTGGGGCCCTGCATCTGTTTAATCAGAAACAGGGTGGAGACTGGAAGCTGACATTTGGGGGGGGGCTCCCATGGGGTAGGCCTGTGCTTGTTAAAAAGCCAAAGTGCTTTGTGTCTTTTGTTCTAAAATAGCTCTTCCCTGGCAGGACAGGAGAAATGAAGAAGGGATCAAGGGAGAACTTTCAGAAGGGTCCCACTTGCCCGAGTGTTGAATGAATTTGGCGTTAGTTATGGGTGATTCCAACTCCTGGTCACCCCATGTGTGTGGAGTCAAGATGCTTCATTAGGTTCTCAACTTGTTGGAAACATTGCCAGGCCTTTCTTCCAAGGTGCATCTGGGTGGGTTTGAACAACCAGCTACAGTGGCACTGCCAAGGATCAGCCGGGGTCTTCCAGATCTGAGTCTGGGTGTTCCACTTGGGAAACACTGAACCCATCCCTGCTGCTCAAGTTACAGGTGGTGGACCAGTCTCTTGACATCCATTAACACCCCAGCACCTTCTCTGACCTCTCAGCTCCCAGACTTCCTTCTCAAGCCCTCTACCCAGACAGCATCCCCTCCGCCAACCCCTGCAACCCAGGCTGGAAGCTGCAGTCAGCTACAACAGCTCCCCAGAAAGGGACAAGAGGCGGCAGAGAATTGGGAAAGGGCCTCTCCCCAGTAAGGGACAAGAGGCGGCAGAGAATTGGGAAACGACCTCTCCCCAGAAAGGGCTCCAACCAGCCTGGGAAAATACAGCTGACGGATGGAGGACAGGCTGGTCTCCCAGTCTAGGGGTCCTCCAGGGCAGGCTATGCCTTCCTTTCCTGGGCCTGGCACTGCAAAGTGTTCCAGAGATGTCCAAAGAATAAATAAACGCAAGTCTTCGAAAGCAGGAACATCACATGGGCCAAGAGTTAGTTGTGTGAGCCCAGCCTTTCCAAGCCAGAGGAGAGGGGGGCGTGGCCCAGATGGTGCACCAGCTCAGTCGCGTCTCCCGATAGGATAGTTCTAATCCTGTCAGCCCTCATTTCAAACAAAAACGGTTCCATTTACACAAATACAACATATTGCTGGTGTCATTGAGTCTATTCCAACTCATTGCAGCCCCATGTGATGGAGAACTGCCCCATAGGATTTCCTAGACCGACATCTTTTTGATCGCCGGTCTTTCTCCAGGGAGGCGCTGGGTGGGATCGAACCACAGACTTTTCAGTCAGCAGTCAAGTGCTTAGTTGTTGCGCCGTGGGGGCTCCTCAGGTAAAACTTACCTATGAAAATAGAAACCAAATCAGTCCTAGCTTGGGACAGGTGATGGGTGTGGGAATATTGATTACAAAAGAGGGGACTTTTGGGGGGTTGATATAGTGGACTTCAAAAAGTTCGTGGAAAATGGAATTAAAAATCTTTAATTAAAAAATTAAAAGGCTTGAGGGGAGGGAGGGGGAACTGTAGGGGGCGGGTTTCTAGGATATACCCTTTGGTTGGTTGATGCATGGAGGGGATTGGAATCATGGCAATGAGATGATATACGATGGAATGAATGTAAAACTAAAGTTCTCTCATGTAAACTATCATATAATTCAAAACAAAACATTAAAAAAAAAAAATTAAAAGTCTTTTTCCATAACATTTTTTTAAGCCCCTGGTAAGGTAGACTTGAGGCCTGCCTTTGGAGGTAGATAAGGAGGGGAGGGCATATACCACTGAGCCCAGCCCTGGGGTCGTGGAGTCGGTTCCGACTCAGAGTGACCCTGCACAGGGTTTCCAAGGCTCTAAGTCTTCACGGGAGCAGAACGCATCATTTCTCCCAAAGAGAAACTGGTAGTTTCGAACTGCTGACCTTGAGGTTGCCAGCCCGACTCGTAACCACTACGCTACCAGAGCTCCTGGGGCTAGGGACTGGAAAAAGACAGGGTGAGAAGCAGGAATCCTGGGAGAGAGAGTAGGGGCAGAAAGGTGGATGGGAAGGGAGTCAAGAGGGCCAAGGTAAAAGAAGTAGACGCAATCAAGTGTCTCAGGACAACGGGCTGAGCTGGTGAAAGTCTCGGACAGGAAAGCCTTCCGCCTCCCCCTTCACTTCAGCTTAAAGGTGCAAAAGGAGCCTCTGAGCCAGTCAAAACTGGAATCATTCTTGAAAAAAGGTTCTCCTTACCCCCTGGAGAGAAGGTGCTGGAAAGGAGCCAGTCACCCAGGGTTGGGGCTGCAACTCCGGACTGGTGAGGCAAGATTAAGGTCGCAGTGCAGGGTGCGGGCAGGGGAACCATGTCTGCGTTTTATTTTGTGCTTTTCCCTGCACTCAGAGGTGGCCTTCCCGATGAAGAGCTGAGCAACTGGGTCAGCCTCCCCGGCGTGCTCACGCTGTGAGCGATGGGGTGTCTGGAGTAGGGAAGAGGCGGGGAGCTGCGCGCTTTTCCGACACAAAGCGGTCCAGGTCGTGCGCGGCCCCACAGCGACCCCTGCTGGCTACGTCAGAAACGCCACCAAGGAAGCTGCGGCCGCCTGTAGTTAAGTGCTGTCCAGAGGGTTCCGACTCAGCGCGACCCAGTGCCCAACTGATGGAAACACTGCCCGGCCTGCGCAAAACTCAGTAGTTACGTTTGAGCTCATTGTTTCTGCCACCTTGTCAACCCACCGCATTGGGGTCTTCCTCCTTTAACCAAGCAGATATCCTCCAGGGAATGGTTCTTGGCATGACCAAGGTACTAGAGAGGATTACTGGCTGCTCTGGATGTATTTCTTCCAACACAGATTGGTTTGTTCTTCTGGAAGTCCATGGCACTTTTAATATTCTTCCCCAACACCATAATTCAAATGCATCAATTCTTCTACGGTCTTCTTTATTTATTCATTATCCAACTTTCACATGTATATGACCGGATTGAAGATAGCATGGCTTGGGTCAGGCACACTTAAGTCCTTAAACTGACATCTTTGCTTTTCAACACTTTAAAGAAGTCTTGTGCAACAGATTTTCCCAATGCAATACATTGATTTCTTGACTGCTGCTTCCATGAATGTTGATTGTGGATCCAAGCAAAATGATGTCTTTAACAACTTTAATCTTCTCTCCATTTATCATGATGTTATTTATTGGTCCACTGGTGAGGATTTTCATTTTCTTTACATTAAGGTGCAACTCATGTTGAAGACTGAGCCCTTGGTAAATTACCTTCTTCCCAAAGCCCCACCTTACTCCTCACATTAAAGGAGGCATCACTGATTTATAGTCCTCCCAAAATTTTCATTTCTACTCAGTTCCCTGACAACCACTCCCAGCCTATGCCAGCAGCTGACCTTTTTCCACCACTCTCCCATTCTCTCTAAAGCTCCTATCTTGTGAGTTGTTGTTGTCAGTTTGAGTTGCGTTGTTGTCCACTTAATACCATATAGATAGCTCTGGTAGCGTAGTGGTTACGAATCGGTCTGAAAACCTTAAGGTCAGCGGTTCGAAACTACCAGCCATTCTGCAGGAGAAAGATGAGGCTTTCTACTCCCGTAAAGATTTACACCCTTGGAAACCCTGTA